TAATAAAAATTTATTTTACACCTCGGTATCTGACGCCAAAAAGCAATCATTTGCATGAGAAGGATATACCCAATGTTGATACTGGAGATAGTAAAACAAATGCCTGCTTATGCCTGTTTACGAGTCGTATTCAGCTTTAAGGACATGGGGTAGCCAAAAAATGATATAGAAATCTGCTAAACAGTTTTCGGAAGATAAAATTTTTCTAAAACATTTGTTTTTCAGGAAATTTCCCCATCAAACCAGCCTTATTCTTTTCATTCCCCACAAATGCATACTTTTATACCTATACATGTATCAAAATTCAATACAAAAAAAATATTAAGAAATGAAAAGTAAAATGGAAAAAAATGAAATCCCCAAAATGCAACGGAATCTCGTTAATAAGGACGCCAATAATACGGAAGCTTCATCTTTCAGAGAAAGTTTTCTTTGCAACAAAAATTCAATATTTATGAGGGTTGGACAAAGCTTTCTTCTCGAAAAATAATGGGCGCACTAAGCTGAAATTTTTCAGCAAATGTTTATTTATCATATTTAAGTGCATCTTAATTTTTTTGATAAAATACAGACAAAAATAAAGATTTTATAATGCTTGAATGTGCACAGGGTTAGGTCCTACGGCGCACGTTCAAAAAACCAGGGTTTCATTAGCGAATACACGAGTATTATATAGTAATAAAAGTATCAACTAGATAAGGTTGCGGTAAAAATTATCCTATTTTTAATCCACTATCTATTATGTCGTCTTTTGTAACATTTTGAGGCATTTGCTTAATTTTTGGCAGTTTCCCGAGCATTTGAAATGGGAAAGTGGTAAACGCAACACACGAAAAATGGCGGCGTTTGATAACGTTACGATGCACCGGAGAGCATTTCAGTTTGATTGAGATGTAGTAATGACGCCCTGAGAAACATTAAATGACTACAGAAGAAAAAAAAATATCACTAGATCTTTTGTATACAAGTGAAATGGGAGTTTTCTAAGCGGAAGGTTTTTGATCGGGTCATCGGGTAGAACAAAACATACGGACAAACAGCTACTGGCAATAGCAAAAGACGCTGTCACTGTAGACCGTCGATATAAGATATTAAGCCTATTAATTGAATGATAGTGAGAGTACTGTCCATACCTTACTAATAAATCTTCAGAAGGTCCCATGTGTGTGCGAGATTGGTTCCTCGACTGTTTATGGATGAATAAAGGGAAACTCAAGTACGTGCATCAATGAAATACCCGAATTTAAGTGGGGCTTATGCAACTTTTTTTTAGCAAGAAGGAAATGATACTTTTACGTTATAATCCGTGCGACGTAAGGCGATACCACACATAACATAAAGTCTCGTATTTTGTTTACTTGAGGAGATATCTATTTGAAATTTGCTTTGTATATTAATGAAAAATGTACTAAAAAGTAGTGAAAATTTAAGAACACAGTGATGATTATTTTTTCACTCTAGACAACTTGTCCACGATTTTACCGGACAACCCTTGTATATAGTTAATAGGAATATATAATTGTTTAAACCATAATAATTCATGCCTGTCAGGAATTGTCAGGAAAATGAAACATTTTGATTGGTTAGTTTCTAGATGCTTATGCTATGTAAGAGAGAGAGAGGGGGCCGCTTAGTTTTGTCAGATAGCTCTACTGAGTACTTGTTTATTACAAAACGTTATAGTTATGATGAATTCTGCAAACCAAGATAATTTTTATAAAGACAAGTTCTAATATTAGTCAGCATAAAGATTGTTTTCATAACTTGGCAACCTGTAATCCTTTTTATGACATTTTATGAATTCTTGATGGCTAAAATTCCCAACACCTAAAATTCACGACAACCACCACTCACGAGACCTTAACAAAACATCAGTGTGTTGATAATGGGACCAACAGAGTTTTGTTTATCAACTGTTGACTTGTTTATAAGTTTGTAATGAGATTTAACAAACATTTATTATATAGAGTTCCTGTGTAAAACATCTACAGTGGAAATGATGAAACATTGTATATATATTGAGGCCAGCCAATTACAATTGTGGAGTATGAAATGAAATTTTACATTGGTTTTCTTTTCATTTTTATTTATGATTGTTAAGCTAAAGAAAGATTAAAATACCTTTCTTTCTGACTTACTGCTGAGTGACAATTACTCCCTAAAAACGTTCTGCACAATACTTTGCTTGTAAGTGAGTAAATATACAGACAACTGTTGTTGACGGTTGTAACAAAGATACACTCCATTAGTTTCAATGGCCGAAAAATACATACCTTCTCTGTATAATTTATTTTAGTGCAAAACTTTAACAAAGAATAGCACAGATATGAATGTTCAGTCTCCTGATAATAAATAATTATCGATGTTTTTCACAATTTGACTAAGATTCAAACTTTAAACATTTATGTTTTATTCCGTCGATCATTTTGTCAAAGCCTACGCTACAACACTTAAATCAGGACACTTGTTAACACTTTAGATCACTTGACAACAGTTCCTGTGTCATCTGTACAATCTAGATTTTACAAGGAAATAAATATGTTTAGCAGAGATCAACTGAAATTTCATTTCTTCATATTACGGGGACTGAAAGACATGTGACAACATTGCTGGTAAGTATATATTTTCCCAAATTTTATTCATGATCGATTCAAGATTTGATTTACTTATAATTACGCATATTTGAGCGTTAATAAGTCGTTATTTGGCATTTTTCAATAAACAATTTTCAATTAGTCCCCTACCTGTGAAATCGGTGGGGACTATAGGCTTCTTCCTCGTCTGTCTATGACTGTCCCTCTCTCTGTCTGTCAGTCTGTTCCACTTGGTTTTCTGCACTTCTTTCTAAACGCTTACATATATTATAAATATTACAGATACGCTCTGTATTTTTTTTTTTATGTAAGTGATCGGATGTAGAAACAAATGATTTGACGAATGTTTACTAAAAATAAACTCCATTAGTCTCAATGACGGAAATACATATTTTTCTTGTATAGACCTCAAAGCGCAAACATTTTGCAAAATACAAATATTGGTTATTTAGGACCGTGTCGTAGAAATAAGGATTTGCATCTGATGACTTTTATATATCAAGTATAGCACAGGAATAAAGATTCAGAATCCTAATGATACATATCGATGTCTCTCAGATTTTTACCGATCTTTCAAATTAAAGCATTAATAGGTTTTGCTCTGTCGTTCATTCCGTCAAAACGCACTACCACAGTTAAATCAGGACACTTCTCAATATTTATTTTAACGTTTAAATTACCTGCTGCACAATCTGTACAAGCTTTTAGATAAGGAAATAAATATAACTAGCAGAAAACATTTGCAATTTCAGTATCAAGGTGACTAATAGACACATTGCAAATTTTCTGTTGAGTATTGCTTTTCCCCACTTTTATTCACAAAAATGAATTTACTCCCATATCAATTCAGTATTACTCTGTTAACCCTCACTGCTATTGATATGCATTGATAAATTATCTTCATTTCACGCCAAAATTGAACTTGACATCATAAATTAAGGAATCAAGGAACAAATATGCCTAGGCTAAAAGATGCCCCCACTTTCATTGTCAAATCCTACTGATTATGTATGTACAACATGCAAATGAAAAATAACAAATACATGTTTTCATTACTTGATATTTAACTCATTTGCTGTATTATTTACGTTTGCTGTCAAAAGCTTAGTATATCTTTGAATCTTGTTTAATCAAGCCGTGTGACAATGAAAAAATATTGTAAGACCTAAGGATGACTTTCAACATGACGAAATGCGGGTACAATAATATTAATTATTATTAATTATTTCAATTATATTTCTTAATGTCAAATTGTACATTTGTGTTTGCTACAAAAAAAACTACCCAATTTTATTTATTTATTTTTTTTCAAATCTCTCTTAATGAAAATTCATGAGTGAGGACTAAAGAAACATAATTACAAAATTATTTCTCGAATTTAGAAAAGATTGTAGTATAATATGATAAAGTCTGACTTCCTGGTCTTTATCCTTCATGGTATAGTTGTTAATACTTAATTTTGAAGTTTGCCAATATGTTTCCTTGATTGACAATAGTAAAGAAATTGACATAACATCAATCACGTGCTCAGACTTAACTGCTTACGGAAAGCAAAGACATTTGGAAGGTCTCGACCTCGTTCAAGTGTATTAGTTGCACTGCTACAACGGAGTCTATAAGGTGCAAAATTTTCTTTGTAACACAATACAAAAATGAAATAGGTTTTGATCACTTGACCGACTTCTGTCGAAATCCCAATGAAACTCTAAAATCTGGCCTATTCCTATGCTCTCTCTCTCTCTCTATGTCTATCTAGGTCCAAATTTGCAGCCATCCACCGGTCCTTAAGCGCTTTTCCTCGTTTATGTGTTTGTTTATTGTTTAACGTCCCTCTCGAGAATTTTTCACTCATATGGAGAAGCCACCACTTGCCGGTGGAGAGCTGCAAATTTTGACCTATACTCGGCACTCAGGGCCATTGAGCAGTTAGGGATCTTTATCGTGCCAGCACCTACTGCGACACGGGACCTCGGTTTATACGGTCTCATCCGAGGGACCGGTCTCCGCGTCCCACAGTGGGATTCGAACTCGCGACGTAAGGATCAACTCCTTACTCCGCGACTCTAGAGCGAACGCTCTAACCACTGCGCCACGCGGGCGACTTTTTTCCTCGTAGATCAATGTTAGATTTTCAGGTCAATATCAAGCCATTTTATCTACGTTACATGGCATTATTTTTTTTATAATAGCACCGATATACTAGATTTCTAAGACAAAGATACAAATAACGAAAGATACAAATTACAAAGCAAACTTTCTTTGACAATCCTAGTAAGTATAAAAGGAGAGGGAAAACATTTTTTCCAAAGTGTCTCAAAATAGTTTTATTTGTAAGTTCTAACACAAATAATACTTCAACGAGGATAATAGAAACACAAAACCTAGCAAACCACCTCTCGTTTTTCAGGTGGTTGCTCAATGACTACTGTTACACGGAAAGAGCTACAATGGTGATTTTTAAAATGCGTAAGACTTCTGGTTGGGTTTTGATTGACCTCTTTAACATCTAAGACAGTATGTTATACTTAAGAAATACTATGTAAATAAAAGTTGTTATATATTTATCTTCTCTATGTGACTCGTTTAACAGTATTGATACAAAATTGATATGCTATCTTAATTTCACACGTAACTTGCAGAATTTAACACTATTGTTAGCTTCTATAGACAAGCAAAATTGTATATAATTAAGATCATATTTGCTTAAAGATCAAGTACTAAAATTTATATATGGACTTTTACCTTCAATGAGGCGGAACCTACCACAAAAACGACAAAGACACTGTTGAGCTTTTGAATTGTTTGTTTTTGTAATTATTCTATAAGAGGTATTAGATATATAGATATTCAAACCCAATCTACTTTTTAAATTATAAAGTTAATGTTTGAAAGATGCTAGACATAATTTAAAATGTTTTTAAATATTTTTTCCGCATATCACGAAAGTGGCTGAAAAGATAGGTGGATTTAGATTCATATGGGAATGTAAGGATATAATCTTGGTTACTATTGATCACAAATGGAAACACTGCACATGCGTCGTATTAATATGAAGTATTTTTGGAAGCCATTATTGAGAAAGGAGCTACATATGATTTTGTTAAAACATTCTTATTCTATGTACAAGTACTTCGAAGTTGATCTCAAAAAGATGTTCGAGTTTCTCATTGACATTATCTTTGAAGATCTACCAACAATCTGTTGAAATTGACATGCGTTGGTACGATTTGTGGATCATTATAATGAGACCTGTTTTTAAATTTCTACGAAGCAGAATTTATTCAAATACGTCCACATTAAAAGAAATTTCTTGCTTTGGTCTTCATTTCGACATTTAGATATATGGAGGACGTTTTATCAATTAACAATATTCATTTCCAGTCATACGTTGATTCAATATATCCCACTGTACTAAAGATAAAAGACACAACAGAGCATGAACACCTGTTTCATATTTGGATATTTTTTAGAAGAATACATTAATGACAAACTAACAGCTAAACTCTATGATTTCAACTTTCTTTCGTCAACTTCCCTTATTTTTACAGCAATGTGCTATTATCATCTGGTATAGGGTTTATCTCACCTTTGTTTCGATCTGCTCGAGCATGTTCTAAGTACGTTCAATTTTAAAAACGAGGTAAGCTACTAACAAACATATATCGTTAAGTCGAATGTTGACTCACGTCTTTCATGCGAATCGTAAGGTATTTATAATCACACCGAATTGTCCAAGGATATTTTCCCGTTTACTTGAACTTGACAAAGAACGCACGGTGGGTGTGACCATTCGTTAGGGGATGCTCACTATTCCTTAGCACCTGAACCCACCTCTGCTTTCAGAGATCCTTAATTGGTCTGCTTATAAATTGTATTGTCTAATTGGTCTTTGAGCATGTTTACTCTTATTTATCTTCATATTTCACATAATATTTAGGGAACAACCTTGTGAGACATTTTCTTTTCAAGAATAGCTTTACACGTCGACAGTAAATCACACAGAATTTAAGGAAGTGTTTATTATATCTAATCAAAACCGTGAACACGGATATACATGTATGTAATTTTTTGTAGGAAAAATAAAGATAACTTGACAGTATATTTAGTACCTTAGTTACTTTAATCTTGTTTATGCTGTAGAATAAACGGACATTACGTTTCAGACTTCAACAAAGTGTATCATCTATATATTTTTTTATGACTCATGTGACCTATGTGGCCCATGGATCCCGTGTTAAATATTATCGAATTGGATTGTGTCATGGAATTGTTTTGTTATAGCCAGTTTTTTTTTACATTGTATACTGTTATCTTCTAGATGTATAAAGGTCATGTGACATTCAAAGGGTTGAATCATGGCTACTGCAAACAGTCCCTACAGTTCAGAAGGCACAACAAATGTAAACAGGGTTTGTCGTCTTCTGCTTGGACCCTGTGCCGATCAGCTGAGAGATGTTCTTCGCAAAGAGGTTCCACCACTTACTTTTGCTCCTGTAGCCATGAAACAGAAGCAAAATCTAACAAGATTAACTCCCCAACAAAGAGACCTAATTTTGCCCCACAATGGGTACTACACTGGAAATTATGACGAATTTGACATTTCCTTGTTGTATACTCTTTTAAGGAACATATGTAATATTACACCGCACAAAAATGGTTGGGGTAATGACCCAGATTTATATGATCAAAGTCTTTCTGCAAATATTGAAAGAATACGGATAGCCCGAAATACGACTGCTCACTCTGCAAAACTATCTCTAACAAACCTTGAATTTACGGATATCTGGAATTCTGTTCGAGGTGCAGTATTAGAAATGGATGCAATCCTTTCGAATGGAAATCATTTTCAGAAGGAAGTTGATGTTTTGAGATATATATCAATGGATCCCGTCCAGGAAAAGTATTACAGAGACCAAATAGCCAAACAATATGCTGATGATCAAGATACTAAAAAATCCATTCGGATACTTGAGAGTATATTTCTTTACGTACATTACATAAAATAATGAGTTTTATCAGTACATAAAGATAAAATTGCAATATATTTTACAATAAAACCGTAGCAAGAATATATATGTACTTGTGAATCATGAACATGAAAAAAAAAAAATCTGAAATCAAATTCTATTTGTTATTTGTCCCATTATTGATGTTTTAGGAGTCTCAAAGAATATATCTTAAAATTCCGAATTATCTTGGTTTTCTGTAATGTTTCACTGTACGATAAATGTGCTAATATCCTATCTTGTGAATTTACTAAATTTTGGGATTTTCATTTTTCTTATCAGTGACTACAAATATAAGCCTCACAACTAAATGTCTATTATCTTATTTTAGAAAACTTGGAACTTAATCAGAGAGAAACAGCCAGCAAGATAAATCACCTCTCGGGTAAGCTGATCGTTTTGATCGTTGAGCCATTCTCTGTTATGACTTGAAATTTCAGATAAGAGCTGTGGCATACACAGTCTCAGAATTTCTCCGAAATCTCTATGATGAAGGTCTTTTATACCGTAAACTCAAATCAGGTAAAAAATTTTTGCTATGTTTCATAGTCACCATGGCAATATGCCCTAAAGTTTGAAATAAAGCATTTTTAACATGTTTAAAGTCCCATAGTTAAAGTCTGCAGCAATACGAAAAATGGCAATGGCTGTTTCTAAAAGTTGAAAGCCAGGGTGTCCTAAATGCAAAATAAACATATCTGGGAATTCAACTGTAAGATACGTTACCATGGAAACAAAGTTTTCAAAAGCAATAATTTTATTCATTCATTTTTATAAAGTCATACACTAAAAATAAAAACAATTACAGATTGAAATCCAACCAAAGATAAAGAAATAATCATAGCAGATACCAAGAACAAAATGTGATATTTCTGACTGGTTGGTATAGTGGCTGCAACGTTATTGTTGACAACTTACACGAACGATCACGTTACACGAACGATTCCGCATGATTAACGCACGATTAAACCTTTTACACGAACGATCCTTCACGCAAACGATTCTACACGTTACACGATCTTTCACGATTGCTAACGCAAATGCACGATTCTTCACGCAAAATAGTGAAAAATATTTAGGAGTGGATATTTTCAAAACGAAATAAGGCATAATAGTTATTTTAGATTCCAAATAATTATTGATACTATTCACCAACTTTGGAAAACTTTTTAAAAAATTTGAAATGGATATTTTGGGAACTAAATAAGACTTATTAGTTATAATAACTTTTAGATTACAAATATATATTTACGTAATTTTCCGACTTAGGTAAATTGATTTTGTTCTTTTCAATCGATACGTAAAAAGATGTAATTTATGATCGATTGTTGCCTGTTCTATCAGATGATAATATAGGTGGGCCGTGAGTTTTGATTCTATTAGATTTTTTTTATATGCAGTAAGAGGGATGATATTAAAAATGGCATAAAGATGAAGTATAGCTTTATCTTTCCATCTGTGAATTTCTAAAATTAACAATTATTTTATAAATCATTCATACGCAGAAATTATAAAAATAGAGTAAGTTTCAGAGATAAACACTGATAAAAGTAACCCCGACGATCATGTCATGTGCATATATTTATGTAACTAAAACATTGGGAATTATTTATTTTTTGTAAAAATATGCATTTTGATATAAAGAAATATCTTGACCACAATTAGCAGTAAATATAATTCACATCAGAGAAAAAAGAAATTGTTAAACATCTTAAATACGGTTTACCATTAAAGGTCACAGAGTTTAATTGAAGAGAATACAATATTTTACGACCTACTATAGTGCTTATTTACTAGTGATATTACTTCGTTCAAGTCTACCAAATCAACAATGCTGAGGAATACCATGAGATGTGATATAGGCACGTGATTCAGTGCGTAGTAAACAGTGATTCTAGTAAACAGCCCTTCATGTCGTTGAGCAGCATTTTGATCGTATTTACATAATTTGATTGAGGATTTTGGTGTTTTTGTTTGACTTATAACCGGGAGATTGTGTTTATAGTTGGAGCAAGTTTTTACGCTGTCTCAACGTGACTTTGTTTGGGTTTAGAATCGCTGACTTATATCCTGTGTGTACAATGGCCAATCAGGCCGAGCGACCTTCACTGAATAATTCAGTAGAGGCTGTCTTCGACAGTGTGGTCGCGGGCATTTCAGCCCAGCAAAATAGTGCTTTTCAAGCTATAACTGTTGTACCAGAAGCAATTTCAGAGGAAATTGTAGAATCTGTTGACTTGGTTGATTACGCAAGGCCTGCTGGAGATGCTTAAGTTTCAAGGGGCGGAGCATCGACAACCGCGAAAACATTGAGTGACAGACCAACCAGGGCACATGTTACCCATAATTCCCAAACCAAAACAAACAACATGGCCGAAGAAGACGATCTTTATTCGAAAAACTTATTTTTCCAGAACCAGAAAATGTTATATGAAATTATGCAAGTGAAAAGATTGGCGGAGACACAACCTTTAGTCCCTTACAAAACACAGAAGGCAAGTTTTACACATGCCTTAATAAAATTCTAGCAACTATTATAATTATGTAATCATACTGTAATTTAACGGTAATTGTTTCTCAGTGGCTTTATATTTTACCAAACGGCAAACATTTAACAGTTAGTTTATTTAACAAATAAAATTTTATAATTATACACAGTACGGTGGGCCAAAACATACTTATGGGAGATTCAACTACAAGGAAACAAACAACAGCAACAACAACAACAACCCTTTTTTAGGGAGAAGCAAGGGCAGGAAGCCAATGTCAAACAAAAAATAGACCAATCCCTGCCCGCAGTGGAAACAACCAGATTAGATCATTGTGTAAGTAGTTATAGTAGTGAAGATAAATTCACAGAAAATGCTTTGTTTGAACGTCCAGTTGATGTGAACAATTTACTAAATGTTCCTGAAAATTTTAAAGGAGGAAAGATCAGTGAGTTTTATGAAAACTGGAAATGTATAACCTCTGACAAGTGGATATTAGACACTGTTTTAGGATATAAAATTGAATTTGATACCATGCCTCAACAAAATAGAGCTAAACCTGAAATTAGATTTAGTGATGAAGAAACTCAACTTGTAAATGAAGAAATTTTGAAATTAGAAAAACAAAATGTGGTACAGAAAGTAGATAGATGTGAGAATGACTTTATCTCAAACATTTTTCTTAGACCAAAAAAGGATGGTTCAAGCAGACTCATTTTTAATATGAAAGAACTGAATGACGATATCCAATATCACCATTTTAAAATGGACACTTTCCAATCTGCATTACGCATAATGAAAAAAGACTGTTGGTTTGCATCAGTTGATTTAAGATATGCATATTACTCAGTTAATGTAAATGTGGTAGTACAAATTTAATATTTATCTCTTATGTATTTATTCGTTTTGGGATCATTCTATTTTTCGTTTCTTCTAAAGTAATCTTAAATTTTTTTGTAATATAATTCTTTTGCGCATCGGATTGAGTCGATTTTTATCTTCAATTTCATTGGTTCATTTGACATTATCCAATAGTTTTAATTTACCTTGAGTATAAGTAACCGTTCAAACTAAGCAAAATTGGGCAGTATTACATTTAATAAAGAAGATATCTATCCAGCGTATATCAGCTGCATCTTGTGGTATGTAACTGTCATATTTATTTATTTGTTACTTTACTATACAAGTTTTGAGCTTGACATTATATTTTAATTGCAAAGTTTATACGTTATTGTATTTTTGCAGTTAAAGTTGTCTGAGTAATTTCTTATATTTGTCTGTAAGTTCAAAGTTCATTTTGCTACAGAACATTTTTTCTATCTAATATATTGTATGCTGCATTAAACGGTAACTTATTGTCAAAGTTTATGAAACTATAGTGTAAATTGTATTTTTCTCTAATTTATTCTTTATATTTGTTATAGGTCAATGTCTTTTTAAACTTCATTAAATAAAATACCAACATCAGATTTCTTCATATCATCCTTACTGCTCGGTTACATAAACAAAAACGTTCGCAAATTCCTACGCTTTATATGGAAGGGTCAGTGCTACGAATTCACGGCATTGCCTATGGGATTAACAAGCAGTCCAAGAGTCTTTACCAAGCTTTTGAAACCTTTCTTTTCAGTGTTACTCAAACATGGATTTTCAAGTTTGATTTACATAGATGATACATTTTTGCAAGGAGAAAATTTTGAAGAATGTCAAGAAAATGTCCTAAAAACTGTTTCATAATTAGACAATTTGGGGTTTACCATTCACCCAGAGAAGTCCGTGTTAGTATCAAAACAAAGCATATCTTTTCTAGGATTTTTGCTAGATTCTCAAAACATGACAATTTCTCTTACACCAGAAAAAGCAAAGGACATAATTCAAGATTGTGAAAAATTACTTCGTAAGCATGAAATTTCAATCCGAGAATTTTCCAAAATCATTGGAAAATTTGCGGCTGCTGAACCAGCAATTTCATATGCACCATTACATATAAAGATTCTGGAAATAGAAAAGAATAAGCATCTTCAAGAAAACCATGGAATTTTTGATGGGAAATTTATCTTGTCAGGTTATGCTGAAAAAGAACTTACTTGGTGGATTGATAATGCAGAAATGTGTAAAAGTTATCCACAATTGTCTAATCCCCAAATTGTTATCCAAACAGACGGTTCTAAATTAGGTTGGGGTTGTTTGGTTCCCAATACAAAAAAAAAACAAAAAAAAAAAACAGGAGGACATTGGTTTTATATTGAGCAGAGATCACATATTAATGTTTTAGAACTAAAAGCAGCTTTTCTAACTCTACAATCATTTTTCAGTGCTTGCACTGATAAACATATTGCTATTCAATTGGACAGTATGGTAGCAGTATCATATGTAAATAAAATGGGAGGAAGGAAGGAAGAGTTGAACAATTTGTGTAAAGATATGTGGGAGTGGTGTATTTCTAGAAACATTTGGATAAGTGCTACACATGTACCTGGTGTTAAAAATGTGCAAGCTGATAAACTCTCAAGAAAACTAAATGATGATTTGGAATGGATGCTCAATTAAGATATATTTGATGTTATCAGTCAGAGGTACCCCTTAACCATAGCAATAGATCTGTTTGCATCAAGAATTAACAAAAATTTACCAAAATATGTTGCATATTTACCTGATCCAATGGCAATAGCTGTAGATGCTTTTTCCATTCCGTGGAGTAATCATTTAATGTATTTGTTTCCTCCTTTCAGTATTCTACAACAAATCCTACAGAAGATAGAAATGGATCAAGCAGAGGTAGTGTTGATAGCACCCCTATTTTCGAATCAGTGCTGGTTCCCAAAGTTACTGAAACTGGTGGTAGTTCAGTGTTACATCATCCCAAAGAGGAAAGATACATTAATTATGCCGACAGATGTTGCACGTCTTCATCCTCTGAGCAAAATGAAGGTAGGGTGTTTCCGATTATAAGGAAACTTCTCCAGGACAAAAACTTATCAACAAAAGTTATCAACACTATTACTTCATCCTGGCGAAAATCAACAAGAATTCAATATTGGACATATCTCAAGTAATGGTTAATATTTTGTGAACGAATTCAAAGTGATCCATTTACGCCCCCTATAAAAGTAGTGCTGGAATTCTTACAATCTTTAGCAAATAGAAACTTAGGTTATAGTGCTATTAACACAGCAAAATCAGCACTGTCAAGTTTTTTGACTTTAGGTGATGTTAATCTGGGTTCCAATCCATAAATTCAAAGATTTATGAGAGGGATTTATTGTCAAAAAACCAATATTTCATAAAAATGTACATATTTGGGATGTAAATATTGTGTTTCAATATCTGAAAAAGATGGAACATTTGGAGTGTCTTTCCCTTAAAGAATTAACTTTAAAATGTGTGATGCTATCTTTGTTGATAGGTCAGAGGCGACAAACTCTTCATTTGTTAATGGAAGATGATATATTGTTTGAGAGCAATGTTGTAAACGTATGTTACGACAGTTTGTTAAAGACAACCAGACCTACTTTTCATTTAAATGATTAATTATTGAAATTTTTTTAGAGGACGAAACATTATGTTTAGTTAGAATTCTTCAAACTTATGTCTTGCGAACTCGAACTATCAGAGAAAACAATAAACTTTTTGTGAGAACTATGAAACTACACAAAGGTGTAACAAGGGACACAATAAGTTATTGGATCAATGTGTTATGATAGCAGCAGGAATTGATATAAAATTTTTTAAACCCCATTCTACGCGAGCAGCAGGAACTAGTGCAGCACAGAAATGTGGAGTTCCTATTGCAGACATTTTGAGAAATGCAGGGTGGACAAATGCACAGACTTTTCAAAGACTTTACAAAAGAAACATTGTTGTAAAAGAGCAGAAGGGTTTTTCACCAAATAAATTATCAGAGTTCAAGAAATAAGCATTACTTTGGTTGTATGTATATATGGTTTTCAATAATAATAAGTAATATTAAATGGACTGAATTTCTTTTAAAAAGTTGTACTTCTTTTCAATTTATTACTTTTCTTTTATTACTTGAAAATTTTTTAAATATGAACACATTCTCTAAAACCTCATAGTATTCCTCAGCAATGTTGATTTGGTAGAATCGAAAAATTAAACGAGTATTACTTGTAAGATGAAGTTTGATTATAGTTACATGTATACCAAATCAACTTAATGCTGAGGAATAACATGCCCGTCCCTCCCTCCCAAGGGAGAAAAGTATGGGCTTGTATTCATATTTAATTTGCTTTAAAAACTGAATCACGTGATGCCTACGTCACATCTCATGTTATTCCTCAGCATTAAGTTGATTTGGTAGAATTATAATCAAACTTCATCTTACAAGTGATATTCGTTTAATTTTTTTAATTATGTAAATCGCGCTTCATTTATTTTATTTGGATTAAAAAAAAAAGCAGACCAGCGAATTGCTTGTTTAACAAATAACATTCCGATAAAAAACTTACAAAACGAAAGAGCTAGGTTCACTTTATGCATAAAATGGCCCCGTCCTTATATCAGTTAATTGACTATCACCTTCTGTTCCATTTCATACATCAAAATAAAGTAGAGACTGGTGCTTTCATTTCTTGTAACAAGATTTCTTTTTGAGAATCCAGGTTTTAGAAATCAGACTTTGAGAAAAGGCAATGTTCTCGAATTGACTACCTTGAGCAAAGAATTAAGATATGAGCACAGCCCACGATCCAAAAATAAAAACATGTTTTGTGATCTTCAGAAACAGATCTTTCATTATGTAATTGCATATTTTGGATCAGAGATTGTGCTCTATATGAAATATTGAAAAAATACGTCAACTTTTGGTCATTTTTAAGGGAATTTACAGGACATGGGTAAAATGACGCATTTTATGACGTCATAATGCATTGACTCAAGAGAAAATTACGTCATGTTTAATAAATACACGGTCACCAAGGGTCCAAGTTATAAATACTGCATTTTCAACCAAAAATGAGCAGTTTCGATTTTTCAGAAATTCTCAGGGCCAAAAAACGCCCAAAGTGGCTCTTGCTCTTTGCACGATCACGCACGATTAAAACCACAAACGACTGAGCCTGATACACGCACGATCTCTCACGTTACTCGAACAATCACGCACGTTACACGAACGATACTACACGATTGGTTTGTCAACAATAATGTTGCAGGCACTGTAATGGTTGCCATGTTTTTAATACCGAAAAGGGATTTTAAATTTACTCTCTGTATGATTTAATCTGATCTCATCCTTTTAAAAAGTACATTTCTTTATAACTGGTAATTAATTTTTAGAGACATTGATGTGGTCCTAATTTTCACATTTCTAAAAATTCAAATTGAATTCTTTGAATAAAGCATTGCGATGGAAATTAGTAGAAAAAAATATGTATTATAAGGATGTTACATATTTGTCGGCGATTAGGGATAGTCTCGCACCAATCCCAGAGATTAAGATTAGCCTCGTACCCACTTGAGAAATTAGAGCTAGTGATTCAGTATGTTTTTGCGTATTTCAGTAAACATTTCACTTTGGCGATCAAATATATTAATATTCGTTGGTATGAATTTTAAACAATCGGACCTTGGAATGGCGAATCTTCACAGTTTGGTGCAGAAGTACTATGACGTCATAAAGATAAATTGTTTTCCTGCATCATCGGACTTTGGCGTGACTAAACCATTGTGGTTTGAAAGTTAAATACAATGTTTAAAAAAAATCTATGTTGAATACTTAAACGGTATAAAGCCTTCTAATTATGAGTAGCATAAGTTTACCAGTTAAATTGATGTTACTTACTTGGAATCATGATAAATGATAAATGTATATTGATTGTTTAATTTGCAGGTACATTAGAAGAAAAACTGAGCATATCTTCTCTAAGACAAAAGGAATTTCAGAATGAATTAAAAAGAGATTTACAGAGGCACAAATCAATAAGCATACCGGAAAACGTCAGAGGTATTTTGGTATTCTTCACTAAAACTGCTGAATTTACAAACAATTGTCAACTTCTCCACCCCCCCCCCCCCCCGAAGGTTCTTACATTTTTTGTGATATAGTTATACCAAGAAAGAAGTTACATACGTTTCAGTATTACTGGTAAGACAACAAAACGCTAAATAGACTGAAATCCAGGGTATTAAAGAGTTGGTTTTGTGTGAAATATAATTTAGAACTTTTCTAAACTACATTTACTACATTCACCCTTTCCCGTCCTTCACAAAAGAAGACAGCGGTTTCAAAGAATCTTTCGTGTCTATTTATGATCGTCTTTCAAACACTTTATTTGTCAATTGTCTCACAATTTATCAAGTATTTTTTTTTCTATTTGTATATATCAATAATACGAGGGTCATTCAATAATGATATAATAACCAATTTTGTTTAATATATTTAATCAATAAATGCAAATAAATAAAATGTGACAAACATATATATATATATATATATATATATATATATATATATATATATATATATATATATATATATATATATATATATATATATATATATATATATATATTAAACAAATATAAAAAGAAAACACAAGAATTCTCCGTAAAGCTTTAGCGCTTTCATTAAAAATCTTCAGAAGCTTTACATTACAAAAATATATACAATGGTAGCATAGTAACAATGATTATGACGTTAACCTAAGCGGAATCCGGAAGTAAAACCTTTGTAGTGCTTTTCCACAAAATCAACAGATTCCTAAGTACCACAAAGGCATAAAAAGGCGGAATCAGGACAATAACAGACAAAATGAAAATTACCGAGGATATGTTAGAAGTAGGCGTCCACCAAACTTTTACAGAAACGAAAGAACTATGTATATTGGAAGAGGGGTACGCAATTATTTTTTAGGAGGAGGCAAAATCAACCAAGGCCAAAGATACAAGAACCAAGTACCACAATTGTTAACAACAACAATTCCAGGGATGCTCCCAGGAATGTAATTAAAGCCTATACTCGGCGACTCAGGCTATATGAATATTTTCATAAAAGTGATACCAATGAATCTGATTCCGAGTCTCAAGAAGCAGAACAAATAGACCTGGTAAGAAACAAATCTAAGTTTAATCCAAAACGAGGAAGAAATCGAACTTTGGATGCCGTTTGCGACACATTAGAAAATATTCAATTTCCAAACAAACCCAGGAATATCAAACCCAGCCTTTCTAAGGAAGAGGAAAAAGCTCTTAAAAGCCTATGTGATGACCCTACTATCATTATAAAAGAGGCTGATAAAGGAGGTGGAGTTGTGTTAATGAATAAGGATTTTTACAAAAATAAAATCTTACAAATGTTACAAGACAACAACTTTTATGAAAGACTGCACAATTGTCATGAAAAGAAACAATTACTAAAATAAAAGAGCTGGTATATGGATCACTATCGGAAGGTTTAACAAATAAAGAACAGGACTGCCTGACAAACTATGAATTCCGAGAGAGCCAATTCTATGGTTTACCTAAAATTCACAAGTCTAAAATTATTAAGGACGCCATAGCAAATCAAAATAGTGTGTGTATTACGTGTCTTGATCCAGGTGATTTATGCTTCAGACCCATTGTAGGAGGACCAAACATATCAACACAAAGACTGAGTCACTTATTGGATATACTTTTAAAACCATATTGTCAAAAAGTACCCAGCTTTGTAAGAGACGATCTGGATTTCATAAATCATTTACCTACTCAGATCACCTGTAACACAAAACTTGTCACTTTTGATGTCATAAGTTTATATACTAATATTCCTACAGAATTAGGATTGGAAGCTGTAAAATTTTGGATGGAAAATTATCCCGATGTAAAAATGACAGATTCTAACGGAATTTTATTTTAGAAGCACTTAAATAAGTTCTAGAAAACAATTCATTTGCTTTTTCTGACCATCATTACCATCAGACTAAGGGAACTGCGATGGGGACGAAAGTCGCACCTACCTAAACAACATTAACCTTAGGTTATTTAGAAAATAAGTTACATGAACAATTATGTTCGTTGTGGGGAATAGAATCTGCTTAGAATATACAGTCTAAATGGAAAAGATTTTTAGACGACTGTTTTATCTTATGGGATGATGATGTCGACAAATTATCGGAGTTTTACGATCTACTAAACCAAATGAACTCGGATATCAAATTCACGATGGAAACAGATGATACACAAATGCCATTTCTCGATGTTCTTATATCAAAAGATAATACCAGCCTAAATACGGAAAGATACTATAAGCCGACAGATACACACCAATATCTGCATTTCGGATCGTGCCATCCCCACCATACTAAAACGGCTATACCATATAATCTCGCAAGAAGGATCTGTACCATTATGAGCAATATTAATACGAGGGATATCCGTTTGGAGGAATTAAAATTGTATTTATTGAGCCAAAAATACCCAGAGCAACTGGTAGATAATAGTATTATGAAAGCCAAGGAGTGTGATAGAACACAATTACTTTCAAACACACCACGTGCGAAGGACGGAGAAACAATACCCTTTGTTCACACGTACAATCCGAGAAATAAAAACATCCATTCAATTGTTTATGAATTAAATAGCTTACTTAGAGAGGATGAACAAACGAAAACTACATACAAAAACTGTCGTTTTATCAGCAGTAAACGTCAGCTCAAAAACCTTAAGAGAATACTTTGTTCCTCCCAATTCGCTGACCATAATTATACAGTGTCAAAGTGTACGGACCCTCGATGCGGCACATGTGACTACATTACAGAAGGGACGAGATATAATTTTAACGGGCGTAAATTTAAAGTTAATGCCAACATGTCATGTGATACGAAAGATGTCATATACGTCATCACATGTCCTGGATGCAAAGAATATTATATTGGTGAAACTGGCAACAGTCTACATGCCCGTGTACGTGTACATAAGCAACACATCAGTACACCTGAATATAGACAAATCTCTTATAAACTACCTATGATTTTCCCGAACTTTTTCATTATCATTGCAGTATTTTATCTATGACGTCACAATATAGACATTAAACGTTCCGCTTAGTTTAACGTCATAATCATTATTACTATGTTACCGTTGTGTATACATTTTTGTAATGTAAAGCTTCTGAAGATTTTTAATGAAAGCGCTAAAGCTTTACAGAGAATTCTTGTGTTTTCTTTTTATATTTGTTTAATATTGTAATCCAATTACTGAGACTTTATTTCAATTTTTGGAGATATATATATATATATATATGGTAACAACGAACAGTATTCAAACTCAAAAGTCCATTAAACATTACAAATTTTGGGGCAGAGCAAACACAGACCTCTAAAACATCAGAGGTGGGATCAGGTGCCATGGAGGAGTGAGCATCTCCTGCCAACCGGTCACACCCACTGTGTGCTCCTTGTCATGACCGGGGAATAACAGAAAATCAGTCTACAATTCATTGTGTAAATAATGGCCTAACAATTAGTATGAAAAACGTCAGTCAGCATTTGACTTAATGATAGATTGTGTTTACTGACAAGGTCATTGTATCGACCATAGAACTTACGAAGTGATGACTTTAAACGAGACTGCTGATATTCTTTTTTCAACAACTTGTTTGTCAATAACCTACCTCGTTTTAGAAATTGATCATACGTAGAGTATGCTCTTGTGTATCGAATCAACTGAGAGATATAAACCCCGTATGAAGGTGATAAAGGTATATTGCTGCATAAGTAAGGGAAGCCATCACGTTTATCATGAAGCGTTGTTGTTAGATTACCATTAACGTCTTTTTCTACTAAAACATCTAAATATGGAACAGATGTGTCAGACTCTGTCGTATCTTTTATTTCAACCTCACCGGGATATATCGTATCGACATAAGAATGGAAATAACCATTGTTAATTGACGTCGTCGATATATCTAAACGTCGAGTTGAAGGCCACAGCAAGTGTTTTCTTCTTTTCACATATAAGATTCTGAACAAATTCTGCTTCATATGATTATGAAAATAGGTCTGCTAATAACGGGGCACAATTGGTACCCATGGGAATTCCAATAGATTGTTGAAAGACCTGGTCTCCAAAAACCACATAGATATTGTCAATCAGAAATTCAAGCATCTTTTCGATATCACCTTCAGAGTAGTTGTGTACTGTATACAATCAGAATGTTTTTAATAAAATTATTTTGCAAATGACCAATGATAAGATAAGTAAATATAAATATATATATATATATATTAGGAATGTCAAATCGGTCAAAATTTGATAATCGGTTACTCGGACGATTTTCTGATCGAGTACCCGGGTACACGGAAAAAGTGTGCATACAAGTAAAAGTTTGTTGATTTATAGACCTGTATATTCCATCGATGTTTCCTTTTGTTTAAAATGCATTTTCATAATCATCGAGCCCAACGAAAATGATTTTTGGTACTTAATTTATGTATCAAACAAACACAAAAGACATGATCAATTAATACACCAATGACTCAAAATTAATGCTTTACAGTTCTCGTTTAGGAAGACATTTTGATCAACGGAGGAGAAGGACGCAACTTTGTAATGATTTGACTAGCGAAAGAGAACATCGTTGTCGTGATCGCGAGTCGTATATTATTAAAATTTGCAAATGTTTTTTGTGATAACCTGAAAGTTAACTATGACGATTTCTTGTTACTATTATTTACAACTTCACCCGTCATGCATAAATTATCCCAAGTTCCCAACTGCCGATGATGCTCTTGCATACCCAACAAACTAGACAGTGATTCCTTAAATATATGGTTGTTTCTTCTCGTATACGCTAAATTTACAATACATGGCCGTAGGAACGGGGGGGGGGGGACCCCCCCCCCTCCACCAATAATTTGGCCGATATATAGATTACTATTTTAAACATAGATACTTTATGCTTGTGCCCCCTCAATAAAAACGTCTGAAGACCTTTTTTTGTTTTTTGTCAAAAAAACAAAGGAAACAGAGAAACAAAAACAACTAGCACTACTACTAAACTACCAAACACTAAATTTTTACAGTGTTTCATGTTTAATTTGAAGTTTATAAACAGTTGTGAAGAAAGAAATCCGGAGCGCTATGAATTGCGTCCGGTCTATCGGTGTACTCTGGTGAAGTGCTAATTACATAATTATATATATATATATATATATATATATATATATATATATATATATATATATATATATATATATATATATATATATATATATATATATATATATATATATATACTTTTGAGAAATACTTTTAACAATTTATTTCTTATAGTTTTACGAATTCAAGATCTCAACAAACAATTTTGAACAGTTGGTGAATATTTCAAGTATTAACGTATTTTAATTGACCTTTCATATCTTTTAATATACTTTTAAATTTTATATAAAGGACAATGATGAAATTCTACGTCATTGCTTTCAATAAGGTTCTCAAGCTGTTAAGTTCAGTAAATATTGAAAAAACCCTAAATATTTTTGTCAAAATACGTGTTTGAATAGGAGGAAAAGTCAATAGCAATAACTTTTATAAAATCTTTAAATGGTAAAATTGCAGTAATCGTTTATCTAAATAAATTAAGATATAAGAAGGTAAAGCTGTTCTTCATAAAATGAAGAACATTTTGAACATGGTTTTTCAACAAGGCCTCTTTAATTTCCAGATCAACATAGAAAAATATTGGATTCTTGGAAGAAAGGAGTCTTTTTTGAAACTTCCTCATATGGAGACATGAAAGACTTTTTTATATCCCATCAAATTGTTGCTGTGGTTGGGCCTCCTGGGTCTGGAAAAACGGCTTTGATCCGCCACGTCGCTTTACAGCTGGAGTCCGAGTATCAGATTGTTCCAATCTCCAAACCTGAGGAAATCATCAACTATGGTGACCTAAACAGACCACAAATATTTGTCATAGACGATGTATTAGGTGTATTTACTTTAGAAAGAAATTTGTTGTCAGATTTAGAAAGACATAGTAAACAAATCGAAAATGTTCTTAACAGAAATTCAAAATTTCTTATGTCCTGTAGATTGGCAGTATACAATGAGGCAAAGGTATTAGATGTAGTGTTTCTTGAAGTTGATAAAATCTTGAATTTGAATGAAAAGAACATTCTTACTTCGGAAGATCAAAAAGGTATATTTGAATCTCACATGAACAATGCAGGGATTTCATGTGAAATAGATTTAAAACTTTTGCACAGAGAGGACGTCTTCATGTTTCCACTTCTTTGTCAAATGTTTAGCAGTGACGAAAGCGTTAGAAAATATGGAAAAGAGTTTTTTACCCGTCCATCCGAGTGCTTGCAATCAGAAATAAATAAGATTCAGAAGAGAAATAAAATACAATATTTATCAATTGTTCTCTGCATGCTTAACAATAATTGCCTATCTGAAGAAATGCTTAGTAAAAGCAAAATGTTCCAAGAAGTATGCAGATCCTGTAAAATTAAGGAAAACACTGAAAATTGGGAAATAATTAAGGAATTGTCACACTTAATAGACACCTACATTACAAAGGATCATGAAAGATATACATTTATCCATGATTCAATATTTGAAGTTGTTGCATATCAATATGGCCAACAGTATCCTGACCAAATTTTGGACCATATGAACAGTAATTTTATTGCAAACAAAGTTGTTTTAGACACCAAAGAAGATACATGTATTGACGCTAAATGCATCAAATTAAACAAGTCCCAGTATGATAAACTTGCAAAAAGATTGTATGTTGATGTTAAAGCTGGGAAACTACACGATGTCTTTTTAAATAAGGCACTGAGGGACCGTGTCTTTAAACAAAAGTTCATGGACATTTTGAAAAAAGTGCCATATGAAGATGTCAAAACTGTTTTCTTATTACCTAGGAAAGAAAGTTTTAATAATGTAGTTTATGACTCACAGAAAGAAAGTGAAAAAGAAATCGACGAAACAGAAGGACAGAGAGAGTCTGAAAGACAAAATCTTCTCCTCGGCCTAAAATGCATTGATCAAAAGAAAATTTATGAAATACGTGCTCTTAGTTTCATAGTCTATTACGGTCACCTCGATTTGCTCAAATATTTTATAAAATTGGTGGGAACATGTCAGACATCAGATATCATTTTTGGAACTACACCCGAAGAACAAGTAAAACTTCTTGTTTTGGCGTGTTTCAATGGAAATTTAGATATGGTGAAAATTCTGGTAGAAAACATTGGAAAGAAAAATATCAATTTAATGCCTGTAGGAGATGTCAAACCATCGCACAATAAACATCGATACATAACTCCAGTGATTGCTGCTTGCTTGAGAAAGAAACATGACGTTGTAAAGTATTTAGTTGATATTGGAGCAGATTTAAATCCTCAAAAAAGTTTTTACCCTGCTTTATGGACACCAGCTAGAACCGGAGATCTCAGAACAGTAATAGACTTACTTGAACTTGGTGCTGATTGTAACAGATGTAATGGAAGGGAAATTTCTCCTTTGTATATGGCGTCAAGATTCGGTCATTTGGAAGTCGTTAAAAAACTAATTGAGCACGGTGCCGACATTAACAAGTGTGATATAAAAGGTTGGTCATCTTTGCATATAGCATCCCTATATGGCCATTCACTGGTCTTAGAAACATTAATTCGAAACGGTGCTGAATGTGACCGATGCGATAAGAATAAAGTAACGCCTCTACATAGAGCGTCGTTGGAAGGTCATGTTCCTGTTGTAGAAATTTTATTGAAAAATGATGCAGACATCAACAAGTGTGAAATTCATGGTACATCATCTTTGCATCTAGCTTCATTAAATGGGCATTTGTCCGTTGTACAGACATTACTTTTGCACGGTGCAGAATGTGATCGATGCGATGGAGAAAATTTAACACCCCTTCATTTTGCTTCATTTGGAGGATTTGTTCTTGTTATAGAAAAATTAATAGAACATGGTGCTGACGTCCACAAATGTAACAGTAATGGTCGGTCTTCTTTGCATTTAGCAGCACAAAATGGTCAATTACCAGTCGTAGAAAAATTAATTTTGCACGGTGCTAAATGTGATCAATTCGATATAAATGAATCAACTCCGATGCATTTTGCATCCGAAGAAGGCCATCTTCCTGTTGTAGAAAAACTTATTGAACAGTGTGCTGATGTCAATGTTTGTAATATTTACGGTCAGTCATCTCTGCATTTAGCATCAAAACGTGGTCACTTGAATATAGTAGAAACATTAGTTCGACACGGTGCTAAATGTGATCAGTGCGATGAAAATAAGTTAACACCTCTACATAAAGCGTCTTTTGGGGGTCATGGTCCCGTTGTAGAAAAAATTATTGAAAGTGGTGCCGACATTAACAAGTGTGATAATAATGGTTCGTCACCTCTGCTTTTAGCGATATGGGGAGGCCATCTTCCAGTTGTAGAAAAACTTATTGAACACGGTGCAGACACCAATACCTGCTATATAAATGGTTGGACACCTCTCCTTTTAGCGTCATGGGAAGGCCATGTTTTAATTGTAGACAAACTTATTGAACACGGTGTCGATATCAACAAGTGTTATAATAATGGTTGGTCACCCCTCCTTTTATCGTCATGGAAAGGTCATTTTTCAGTTGTAGAAAGACTTATTATGCACGGTGCCGACATCAACAACTTCTATATTAATGGTTGGTCACCTCTATCATTAGCGTCTTGGAAAGGTCATCTTTCAGTTGTAGAAAAACTCATTGAGCACGGAGCTGACATCAACAAATGTGATGTCAATAGTCAGTCATCAAAGGATAGTCAGACATCCGTTGTTGAAACAAACGTTGAAGTACCTTCAATGGGTCATGTCCTATGTGTAGAAAAATTGAAGGAAAACGGTACCAACATCAACAAGTGTGATAATAATGGTTCGTTACCTCTGCTTTTAGCGATACAGGAATGTCATCTTTCAGTTATAGAAAAGCTTGTAGAATACGGTGCAGACGTCAATAAGTGTAATAAAAATGAATGGTCACCTTTACTTTTGTCGTCATGGAAAGGCCAATATCCAGTTGTAGAAAAACTTATTATACATGGTGCTGACATCAACAATTGCTATATTAATGGCTGGTCACCTCTATCTTTAGCCTCATGGAAAGGTCATCTTTCTGTTGTAGAAAAACTTATTGAGCACGGAGCTGACATCAACAAATACGATATTAATGGTCAGTTATCTCTGAATTTAGCGTCAAAGAATGGACATTTTTCTGTGGTGGAAACATTGATGCGGCATGGTGCTAAATGAAATCAATGCGATAAATGAAAACATCCTCAGAAAAATGGATTTGATCTTCTTATCATTTATAACAGACGTGCAAATAACTTGCTAAATTTGGTTTGTAAGAGACAAGTCTTTCGTGATTTCCTCATCTTCATCAAATAACTACAAACGGGTTTTCATGGAGAACGCGATTTTAACATAACTGAAAGCTAACAGAAATGTTACTATGACATCATACAAAAATATCATTTCTACAAAGAGCCATAACGCATTTGATAGGCATTTTCGCCTACTCTACTAGTGATTTCTGAAATTCATTGTTTAACCAAAATTTTGTCATACAATCTTAGTTTACACATGCGTAAAACCAAACCACACAATATTGATATTTCAATATTAATAGTTCCCTCATATGATAAATATGAAAATTATCCAATTTGTATGGAGTATATAGTAAATATTGAGGTATCCACCTAAAGATGACACACTGTTGCCAAAGACCACCCTTAACCAGAAAAACAACTTTTGAATAATTTTATTTGGATATGACTGCACTTCATTACATTTAGATAATTTTGGTTAAAGGTGGTCTTCATATTGAAAATGATGAAAATATATATTCAATTTTTCTTCTTATATAATCGTAAGATTTAGCAATCTGTCTTAAATCTATCCACGTCATTCACTTCGTTGGCGCAGTGGTATGATTGCTGGAATGTAAATATGGTGATTGCGAGTTCGAGCCCCACATTTTTCCATTTATGCTTTTCTTTAATTTTTTTGTGTATCTTTTCTACGTTTTTCTTTATTACGTTTTATAATATACATAATTTCAGAAAGTTATAATATACACATTACACTTTGAAAGTATCTCGGGAAAAGACAGTCCTAAACTATTTCATTAAAGTTTGCAAATTCATAGCTACTTGTTTTATTTTAATTGATTTTCTAAATCTTTTGTCTCAGAATTAGAGTATTGAACAAATTAAATGATTGTCATTTGACATACTTGCAACTATGAAAATATAACATTCGCCCTCAAATCATATTACATAGTCTGATCTTGAATTGAAAAGGTATATCTATAAATAGAAACAGGTGATTTCCTTTTAAATTCTTGAGTCGGCCGTGTCGTCGTAGAGGCAGCTATGGCTCTTACCACAAAATGAAATGATTTAATTTTTTTAACTTTTGGATTGCTTTAGTCTACATCAACACTTACTATAACATGCAGTTTTGTCGTTAGTTAGTCACAGGAAGATATAAGCAATTCACTTATCGCAATGCACTTGTCTACGTGACGTCATATTGTAAAATCTGACGTAGTTTCGTGCAATGAGAGGCGGATCAAGTTATATTTTATACAATGAAAAATGTATTTTGAAATGAAAAAAAAAATTATTTGTAGATATAAAAGTAGCAATTAACTTGGATGCGATGTCTATTTACGATTTTATTCATATACTCATCCCTAGACATGTGATACTGCAGTATATTTGTATGTAGATTCATTGGAGGGTGATAGAAGGATCTTAATAAATCGATGTATTGCAAGGGCATACCCTCCATAGATCACGACAATCTTTTACACATAAACGCAAGAAGTATTAAGATATTTGAAAAGAGCTGTGAACTGATGAAATCTTGCAAATGAATTAATTATATTTATATTTAATGTAGCTGACCAGCAAAATATTCATCATGCGGTCTAACAAATGAAATTTTAGCAATTTGATAGTAGAATCTACATAGGTTTGCAGCACTTTTTTACAAACTACAAAGAGTGTTGAAAAGAATTATAAATTAAACTTAGATTTTAAACTTGGTTATGTCGTTGCAATATTGGAATTTATAGATGACCTCAATACTACAAGAATATTTGCTAAAATCACGTGACTGCCACATACCATGACAAGTCTAAATAAAAAGTCTAATCGTCCTCAACATGCAGTTTTAAGCCACGTTTCATTTGTCTGATATCAGTAAATAATTAGAGTCCTAAAAAAGAATCGCCCATTTTTGTTAAAAATGCATTTTTATCTTAAAAATTTGCCGATATTTCCAGTAAACACCTTAACTGTACTGCGTACATCATACTTAAAGAAAAAGAGAAAAAAATATGTAAAATGCCAAAAAACTAAGTAACTTTTTAAAAGTGCTTTTTAGAAATTTGACAAACTCTAATGTGAAATGGGAATTACTGGGTTTTTTTTTGTTTTTTGTTTTTTGTTTTTTTTTTTTTTTTTTGTGCTTTGAATTTACAATGTACGAGGGCTTTCCAAAACATTCGTAAACAATGTTGTTTTTGTCATTCTGAATATTCTAATGTAAAAATGTTGTACACCAAGATGTGTATTCAAAATAGGGGCAAACTAATTAAATTTTGATTGTGTAAAGTTAAATTTATGATGAAGGAGCCAACTTAAATAGTCGCGGAATGTGCCCAGGGTTTAAACATTGTTTACTTTGTAATAAAGTTTTTAGAATAAAATAATTATATTTTCAAAAAAGCTCATTGAAACTAAATAATATGTTTGATGTCGTAACTACAATTATAAAATAGATAAGGGAAATGTCTAGAAAAAAAAAAACTCGCAAGAAATAGTCTTCGAAAACACCCGAAAAACGCCATCCGAACGGACCACCGTCGCGGTTCGTCTTAAAATTATGTGTTGATCAGTAGAAACGTCACAAAAGACCATGACGATTAATTGAATTAATAGTGAATAAAAGAAATATTTCAATTTCATTAATAAATGGCGTAAATGGTTTTCAGACGGTTTATACAATTTGGAGGATATTTTAAGAAGTGGAATATCACCGATGAAATACGAAAATCCGTATTCATTATTAATCTTGCTTAATGTCTGACTTGGCTAGTGACTTGTATATACAAAATATTTATGCTGATAAATTCGTGAAATGCGCATTGCTGTAAGCTTTATATACTGTCTCAATCATAGTCTCTAGTAAAATTGTGACACAATGAGCGTACAAATTATAATTTTAATTGATATATTAAGTTTGTACATTGAGTTTATTAATATTTTAAATATTGTGTTTTGAATTATCATTGATACTATCAGTGTGTAGAGCGTCGGACAATAATCTCTTAAATATGAACTTGTTTACAAACTCTGGGAGATTGGATACAATAAGTGAGCGTCTTCATTTGACGGACAATTAGTTTTTACGATGTGTAGTTCTTGAACATTGACACTTTCTAATCAGACTTTGTGCAAAGCTGCAACCATCTAATTAACTGAAGAATGTGCAAGATACACAATGTTAATGTAAACAGAGGACATTGCCGTATCCTATAAGGAGATGAGACAGCTTCAGTGAGGGGCGGACTATATTAATATTAATGAAGTGACACGCTAACTAATTGTTGTTACCAAATATGTGATCCCTATGATGCAGCTTTTCGTACAAAAGATGTGCGCACTGAGTATCAATAGCTTTTAACATCTTGGCTCTAAGAATGACTATGTGAGCTTTCATCACCTTAGCTCCGAAACCGGCAGCCATTGAACTTTTCTTATGTACCATTGTTTTGCCTTTGCTGTGATTTAATAATAAAACTATAAACTTACAAGTCTTTTTAATCAGAACACATTGAGTAATTGTGTTATAAAATTACTATATATAACCTCAAACCACTTGACGGTTTCATTAATGTAAAGTTTGCAAGCAGCTATATGTAAAATGTACAAATCCATTCAAGACATTATATTGGATCTGAGTTATGTCGTCTTGTATATAAAAAGTATTTATTCAAATAACGTTCATAACATATTGTGCATAATTATACTTTTTATATATTAACTAAGTCAATATTTTAATTTTTTGCACAAACCTAGCAGTATCGTTAATGTAAAAGAAATTATAGCATGTGTCACAATTTTTTGGACAGCCCTCGTATATATATTGAATGTGCAAAATTGTGTCTTTTACACATGTAAATATTTGATTGTAATAAAACAAAAATAATTAGATGAAGTATATCATATAAAGATGTAGTTGTATATTCTTATTTTTAATAGCTGTAGTGTATTTGAAATATAGTAAATATGGCGAGATGTGTATCAGCAGTTTAATATTTGCGAGATGTATTTCTTCAATAACAAAAATTGGCAGTTTTAAACATTTTACTATAGTTTTTTAGTGACATAGACCATTCATTGACGATGCCATTACGAAAAAGTATGGTTTAGATTTGTCAAAAAGGATGTCCTCTCAAAGTAATATTTACTATTATTTAATGCACGCATTTTTACATAGTCAGCTTCATAAAACTGCTTGGATATTATTTTAGTATCTTGATAACAAGACTGAATATTTAGAGTATTATGATACAATGGTCGTGAATCTATTGATGTCATGATAAAGTGGCTGCGACAATATTAGTGTCATAATACAACGATTTCACTTCTATTGATGTCTTGGTATAGTGCTTAAGAAACAACACATAATATGATACTTTTTTCAAGATTTTTCATAGTCTATGCCAAGAAGCATGCACTTTTTTGGTACTTGATGGAATTTAACAAATACATACATGTATTATTAAGTTTATTTTTTGAATTGCTTTTTATACTGATTGATTGATTGATTGATTGTTTGTTGTTTAACGTCCCTCTCGTGGCTACAAATTTTGACCTATACTCGGCACTCAGGGCCATTGACAAGTGAGGAATCTTTTTCTTGCCAGCACCTACTGCGACACGTGACCTCGGTTTAAATACGGTCTCATCCGAAGGACCGGTCTCCACGTCCCGCAGTGGGATTCGGGCCCGCGACGTAAGGATCAACTCCTTACTCCGCGACTCTAGAGCAGACGCTCTAAACCACTGCGCTACACAGGCGCAAATGTAAATGTATCTAGATTTTTTTTCTGCTGAAAAGAAATTAGTTTTTATCTATTGATGTCTTGGTTTTTATCATAAGGTATTTGTTTTATTTCAAGTAATGTTATTGAACAAGAAAGATTATCTTCATGCTTAAAATTTATGTCTATTTAT